TGGTGAAAGACGAAAAGTCCACCTTTCGAAAGCGCTCGGGTTATAAGGTTTTTATTTATTTCTATCAAGACTTCTTGAACCTACGTGTTTTTCTAACATCATAATTTTTTAAACACTTATTTTTGTATTTTGTTTTCACATATCACTTTTATTACTTCCCATTCTGTTTATACATTCACTCCTTTACATACATAACAGGAGTTTGAACCTTTATTTGCTCTAAATTTACACCTTTTAAGGGTGTAAATTCTCACCTTGACAACAAAAAGGAGTGTGTTTGTTAGACTTTTCCCAGTCACACTTTTTTTTTCTTGGAGTGTATAAAAAAATCATTTTGGCCTGAATGTTGTAAGTAGGAATGTTAGTACTGTTTATGTTATATTATTCTAAAGCAATTGTCTGATATATTTTAAACACGAATTTGTATAATAATATAGTTTAGCTATACTGCACGTTAGCTTTTCGAAAACTGTTGCTTCAGTTTTAAATTATTTAAAAAATCTGATTTTTCCTCTTGATATTAAGAAAAATTACCTGAGAGCATAAAGTACGAGTTTCATTAACTTTACATTTGTTAATCTTTCATTTTCAACAACATTTTGTATAATATACATTAATAACATCATAAAAATAAATATGCTAATCAACAAAGAAATTTAGAAGCAGCATCCTATAGAGTAAGACAATTTTTTTCCTGAATTTAATCATGTATTCTGATGAGAAAACGAACGAACTGCCACCAGATGGCAGCACACATGCAGGAGAGGACAATTTTTCAAAGTGCTATGCTCAGCCTATTATTCGAATATTTGTAAGGGTCTTTTCATCATTTAGAATCTTGAAGGAATTTTATTATTTTTATCAATAAATGAAAGTGTGTAGCTACTATATACCTTGATATAAAATAACATTTTGTGCCAAAAAAAAAAAAAAATTAGGTCGCGCAATATTTGTACACGTGCTAAACAGCACAAGACCGATTTAAAGCAAACTCTCTATACTAAATGCAAAATATTATACTGATCATGATGAAAATGCATTGTCCATGAGAATGGTCGAAAATAATTGTTTTTATATGCATTCACAGATACCTATTAAACCTATTAGTTTGGTGACGTTTCTTTATTGTCATTAAGTTGTTTTTTAATGTAACACAAATTGTTATTATATTGTAGTTAGTTATTGTAGTCAGTAATATTGTTCCGAAAACAAATGTTTAGTTTCGAATAATTTAGTATAAAAAATCATATATACCATAGGGAACCTTGGGAATATCCAGAACGAATAAGTAATACGTAATTGTGCAAAAAAATTGCAATCGAAATTTATTTATTGCAATAGAGCTGTGACATAGTAATAAACATATGAATACTATTATTCCGTAGTATTGTTGGAAGCCAAGATGTGAGACCAAAAGAAGTAAATATTCAAATATTCATTCAATAATAGTAGGTTAAAAACATTATGTTCAGAAGCAAATAAATCGTCCAAAATCATACATGGGAGGTAAAAAAATTGTTCGTGACTTCACGAATATAATTAAAATTTTCCTTCTAGTTTTTAATAATTTTTTTATTTATAATAGTAAAAAAACAGCTAGAAAAAAAATGTGTCAACGCAAATATTGTTTTATCAAACTATGAATGTTTTAGTTTTATCGAATATTCTTACTGTAGTGCACAAAAACGATAGTGCTTTAAGTATGCAGTTAAACATATAGTTTATAACACCGCAGTATTAGTAAAGCACAACGCAAGCCTCGTGAGGACAATAAATTATATTCTAACTTCAGGTGAAGAGTTTCTTGTTTATCTTTTACTTTTAACAACTTTCACACAAAATTACAAGGCTAAAATCCAGATTTTTATTCCCCAGATAGCCCAAAGAGTAGCTTTGGACCAACATAAACAAACTGTTTCTTTGATAACAAATAAAACTTTTTATACAACTAATGTTCGTGTTGTGTTTTATTCATTTTCTCTGAAGACATATACCACATATAAAGAGTATACAACGTGCTTATGGATAAATTTTAATAACTTGTTTTTCAAGTTGCTAAGATGTATCTCTAAACTGGCAGATATGTTGGAGATGTCGACAGATGGCGAGAGCTGTATTGTGGACCAAGTGCTTCCATTCATTGAAATAATGTGAGTGAATTGTATGAGCTGTCAGTTCGAGCTAATAAACTCTGTTATTGGAATTCAATAAAACTTTGTAATTAAGCATAACTTAGTTTATTCTTTTTATCATACCCCTTCAACAGAAATAGACGAATCAATCAACATGTTGTTGTTTTTTGTTTTGTTTTTCATGTTTAGTTATTCGAGCTTAATGAACATTCGGCTGAGAGACTACTTCCATCAATCCCACCACACTCCCCCTGACTTCACTCCTGATATAAGGCTTTCTGAATATGAGGGGGTTTATGGAACTATTCTACAACTGAAGAATGTTCAGGTGATTTCTAGTGAGATGATATGTGCTGTAGAAAACATTAAACATTGATATAGTGCCTTCTAGTATTATTTCGAGAGGCCAGTTTATTTCAGTTTTTGTGATCATTTATGCCTGTAGGAAAAATATTTCGCACGTATATTTGTTACGTGGTTCACACACCAGACAGTTTCAAATATCCAAACTGACTTTACAATTGTCCTATATCTAGAAAAACAAGTCTGTAAAGAGAAAAAGAAAAGCTGCTTTTTTTCAAATGAGGCTACGTGCAAGTAGTCTAGGTAAATAGTTAAGCTTCAATGTTTACCTTACTTATAACATAATGTAAAGAAGTTTGAAAAATATTCTCTGTTTTTAACATCTAGATGAATGTCGGCGTTTATGATGATTGAAAAATCGAGACTATATATATATATATCATATGTTCAATCTTATTACAATTCCATCAACGTTCTCATAAATAAAGAGTCAGCCTTCGGAATTATCAATATATTAGCACTTTCCTATCCCTCGTAAACTGATATGCATAAAATGGCCAAAAATCGAATAAGAAATATTTGTCAATGACAAATATTCCTCAGATATTTCTATAATAACAAATATTACAGATAAGAGATTTTGAAATACAGAAACAATGGATAGATGTTAAACTTTCAAGTGAAACAAACATTTTAAGAAAGATTAGCGAAAAACCGGTTCATTGAAACTACGATGTGCCAACTTTATATATTATCTACCTACCTACCTATCTATCCATATATATATTCATGTGTGTAATTACATTTATATATATGAAGAGTGCATTCTGTTAGAGAATTACCTTAACATTGAACATATGGCAAAATGTGAGGTTATTATTAACAGTGTGATAATCTCACACTTAACTTTAACGAGGTAAATACAGCACGAGAACAATGGCCTCTCAATGGTTTGTGATATGGAAACATCCAAATACCTTCTGAGCATTACATATTTTCATGCCCGTTGACAGATTCAAGAATAATTCGTAACACGTCTGGGAAACTCTAACGCTAGATGAATATTCTGTCTAATGGAAATGACTGATTAAGAACATTATAACCTGTCAGTTATTCGGAAATCAAAATATACGTATTATATTACACATTGGAAAATTATTATGTTACACGTTGGATAGTATGTTAACCTAGTATGTTTTTTGTCGAAATAGCTTCTTGTATTCTCCAGAATTCTTATACTTTAAGCTGCATGTTCTTCGAATTTATTATGCATTAACTCATTTAGTTATATTTTGACTAGAATATAACTTATGCAAAATATTTCGCATGATATAAAGTATTTGTTGAACTAATTTCAAGCTTCACACTTTATGCTTCAAGGGGGTTTCTACAGCAGATATGCTGGGGTTTATTTTGTTGTTTTTGTAATAAAGGAAGCTATTTCTGCTGTAATAATAATTGTGGTTGGTTTCGTGTAGCATAATTTCCTTTGATGATTTCGTATAACAGAAGTTTTGTTTTAATGTTTCTATAATGCAATATTTATTTTGTTGATCTTATTCGAATGAAAGTCTGCTTTAACGAGTTTATATTGCATAATGCTTCAAAGGAGACGATGGTTTCAGTTTTTTTTTTCTCATGACACAGTGATTGTATAAAACTAATCTTTTTTACTGACTCATTTTAGTTTATATATTGATACCACAATACACAAGTAAATCAAAGTTTTATTTTTTCAACCGTAGTTTATATGTCCACGAATTGTATATGTATTAAACGTTTTATAATACGGTTCTACACTGAAAAAATCCATCCGTTCTATTGTATCTTCCTTCATATTCAACAAAACATTGTGGTTTTTGTGTCTTATTGTATTTTTGTCGTTATAAACATTTTCGCTGGTGCTTTTGTAAACAGTTTCTAGTTTATTTATACAATATGTTAAGCTAAAGTCAAACAACTTTGGCACTAATGTATTTTACTTGAGAATGTCACCTGGGGCTCAGTTATAAATCTAAGGCCTTATAACCTTAACACTTGAGTTTCAATAACTGCGGTGGGCACAGCAAAGATAGCCAGCCCATTGAGTAGCTTTGTGCTTAAGAACAACACAAAAATATATGAGAATGGTGCAATACCTAAACAGCTTAATCCAAAAACAACAACAACAAAAAAAAACACGCAAAAATCTATAATTTTCTACACAATAAAATATCTGATAAATATGCAAGAATAATTTTCTTCATGTGATAGCCATTTTTTGAAACACTATAAGCCATTATATGTATTTATATAATTTATTTTTTCTCTTCGCAAAATTACTGCGCTCTTGAGACCAGTCTAATATAAAGTTAATAAAGTCGATACACTGTTATTAAGTTATAAGTGTGTTTATACAGAAATAGTGCTAAGAAATAAGCCAACATTTAAGCTTCTCCAAATATACAAGTTTTGAAAAAGCAAGAAAATTAAATTAATTAGCTTTTCAAGTGAACGTTTTTAATGCGTGGACGTAGAATGACTTAAGATATACGTTAGAAGCAGTGTATAGTTATGTTTCCCAGTCTTATGTCACAACCGGTACAATGTTTGTTAACTCGATAGGAGGCGAGTATGAAAATATCAGCTTATTCCAATTTCTTTCCTTACACCTTGAAACGGTGAGCCAGGTGAAAAAAGCTTACAAGTAAAAGACAGTTTCAGAGATTACACCATAAGACTGGAAACTTCCTGACAAAGGAAATTTCCCCAGTTCAATATTTAATCAAATTAAGAGTACATTCTAAACCACAGTTCCATTTACAGTCTCGACGGGTGGTGGTGTAATTTCAACACCAATGGTTCCATGTACTGGAACTCTGATTTTTTCACCATCCATACGTTCACCAATATCTTTTTCACGACTGTATTGTCCAGCAGAAGTAGCCTCTTCCAGTATTATTTCTGAATTAACTTCATGATGTAGATCGTTCTGATGATGTTTCTCTTTCTTCACTCGGATCGAGCCACGAGTAAGAAATATCTTCTTCGTTGAAATTGGACTAGGTCTTATTAAGTAGCTGCGAAAAATATTAAGACAGATTATATTGCTTTTCACATAAAATGCCAAAATATAAAATACTTTCTATTAAGTTCCAAGGAAGTTAATTCAGTTATGAAAATAGCACAGTATCATATGTTCTGATATGAAATATAATTTAAAAAGTCTGAGCATTTTTTTACTAAATATACTACACCCATCTTAAAATCTTCTGCGTGAGAGCAATTTTTACTAAATATACTATACCCATCTTAAAATGTTCAGCGTCGGAGTAGTTTTACTTCATATACTATACCCATACTAAAATGTTCTGCGTCAGAGGTGTTTTTACTAAATACACTATACTCATCTTAAAATGTTCTGCGTCGAAGCAGTTTTTACTTAATATACTATAACCATCTTAAAATGTTCTTCATTAGGACAGTTTTTACTAAATATACTATATTCATCTTATAATATTCTGCGTCAGAGCAGTGTTTATTAAATATCCTATACCCATCTTAAAATGTTGTACGTGAAACCAGATTTTATAGAATATACTATATTCATCTTAAAATGTTCTGCTCTGTGTAAGTGAAACTACAAATACAACAAGTTGAACAATAGTAAATTTTAAATTTGGTTTATATTTATAGTTTTCAATTGTTTATTTTGTGCTGTAAACCTGACTTACATGATATCTCCTTCTTGAAGCTGCAGGTCACAGCTGGGATTTATCACAACATAGGAAAGACTGTCTCTCTTTTCTGACACATTATCTGGGAATAGAAACATTTAACTTATCAACTCATGTAACGGTATCATATAGTTTTAGGTTATATAGTAGTTGACTATAAGACTGTAAAATCGTTAACTATCAGATTATGAGTTATTATGTTTTTAAGGTATGAGGATAAAAATAATGAAAACAGACAAAGTTATTAAACTATATTTCAACCTACTGTAGAACAATAAGTTATGAAGGTGTGGTATCATAATTTCTAGTTATTAAAGTATAATCTAATACTTAGGATAGTCATGAATTTCGTGAATTATCAGGTTATGAAATTACAAGTAACGATGGTTACCAAACAAATATTGTGACGAGATAAAACCATCGACTATTTAGTTATGAATCTACAGATTATGTGGTTACAAATGCACAATGAAATCATGAGTTGTTTATTTATTTAGCAAATTTCAGGTTAAGTCACGAAAGTACGAGTTATGATATCAAAACAACATACATTTACAACGAAAGAAGCTTTTAGTTATATTTATTGAAACTAAAGATTATGAGACTATGAACTAATGGACAGCGTTAAGCTAAGAGACAGCAGGTTGTCAGGTTATAACCTTCAAGTTATTTTCGTGAAACAATGTTTAGTCACTTTACGACACCTTAAAACTGTAGATTTTTGAAACAAAAATTTAATTTATTCAATTAATATAGTTTTAGCGGAACTGTTGAAGACACTGGTTTGAAATTAAAATAGAATATCTTCAACGGTTAATCTAAACATTAATATAATGCTACATTTCATATAACCTAACGGTATGATTATAATCAGATCTTTAATTTGAATTTCGTACCCCACCCAGTGGGACAGCGGTAAGTCTACGGACTTACAACGCTAAAATCTGGGGTTCGGTACCCCTGCGGTGGACACAGCAGATAGCCCAATGTGGCTTTGTTCTCAAAAAATAAACTTAAATTTCCATATAGTTATGTATAATTATGAGCAAAAAAAAATGAAAAAGTAAAGGTTTTCTTTAAGAAATAATATAAGATATAATAAAGTTTGTCGTAAAAAAAAGATATGTTCAAGGAATATCTAAAGAATAGTTGAACAGAAGCTCCTTCATTTAGTATCTCTTATAGCTTTTCCGATTATCTTACACTATAATCGAGTCCTAGAAATTCTCTTCTTCGGACATTTTTTATATATTTTTGCATTTTTTTTTCATGGTTTTGCAATTTAAATAATACTTTTTCTGTTAATATTTCACGTTCTTATTTTCAACTGGAATAATTTGTTACCCATTGAATATATTCGTTTCGTCTTTATTTCGTATTAAATAAAGTAAAAAACAAAAAAAATTATTAATCAGATTAAGAAAATTTTACAAACGTGCTTATCGACTAATATACATCCACGCTTCAAGGAAAGAAATGTCCAACAGTTTTAAAATGCACTAGACCATTGAATATGTTGGGCATGCTTTACAGATTACTCAACTACTGGAATATCCAATTACGTCACTTTACGACTCCTCTAAAAGAGTACTTAGGTGTTATAAATTATTTGTAGGATAAGGCATGATTGAGAATTACATAAAGGAAACCGTTAGGGATCTTTAATTTTCCACAATAAAACTGCTACAATGATTCATAATTCACCATTCACAGTTTTATGTGAACCTCCAGTCTATCATCAATCTAATTAGTTTGATTATGAATCAAATGTTTCCTCTAGATCCATGCTAGACACGAACGTTTTTAACAACAATCAGTCTCCAAAATGTTCATTATACACGCTCTCCTGGTTGAAATTACAGCTCGTAATTCATACGCAAATCATTATACACCCTATTGACTGAAATGGTAAAATTTAGCTTTTTGATAATAACATTTTTTGATGACCGGAATATAAATGTATTGAGTTTAAATTGGTTCTTTAGGTTTTAAAGAATTACAGCGAAGAAAACATCATTCTCAACTATAATAATTAATTACGCTATATAATTTCGTTATTCCGGTTTGATTTAGCATAAAATTTCCCAATATGCAATCTGAATTTTGGCCGTAGCAGGGATTAAACCACGCATTTTACTGTTAAATATAGTAAAGACAAATTAAATTTAAAAAAATAAATGGTGGTTACTTACTTGAAACAGCGAATTGGACAAACAAAATAGTGAAAACGCTATAAAAACACATTTTAAGCGTTTGAGCGAAAGTCTGTTCCTCAAGAACAGTTTCTCTTATCCTACAAATAATAAAATATATATCAATTGATATTGAAGTGTTGTAGAAAACTTACGTTATATGCACATAAATACGACAAACCCTGGTAGAAATACAACTTAAAACATTTTCTTCCTGGACATTTAGCCAACGAATAGACAGTAAAATGTATTTCGGCCGCGCGTATGATTGTGATCTTTACCTTTAGTAGTCCACCGATGGGACAGCGGTAAGTTTACGTATTTACAACCCTAAAATCCGGGGTTCAATTTTCCGCAGTGGACACAGTAAATAGTCTAACGTGACTTTACTCTAAAACAAACACATTTTACCTGTAATAAAATACACATTCCAATAAGGAAAGGTGTTTTAAGTCATTAAATATATATATAATGAAGAAGAGTGTCAGTGAAAAACAAAAATGGAAACTCATTATGAAATAGTTTATTACAAACCGTAGTCTTCTATTGGTAGGCCCAGGTTGAACATGCGTGTTCTCACCATGTTACAGATCTCTTGTCTCTCCACGTCAGCAGCCAAGGCAGCCCTCTCACTATCTAACAACTCCAGCGACAACTAATCAATGATAAAATTGTGTGACATAAAACACCAACAAATATAATTACCTAACTAAATTCATCATTTCAATTTTATATATATATAATTCCTTCACATCGATCCACTACTATTTAAATATGCTTTTAAAAAACAGCAAGTTATTTGTTTTCTGAGGAATATTAAATTTAAAAAATATATACCAAAGTAAGACATGTTTTTTTTTATTTTTTGTATGTTCGTTCATTTCAGCAATGGTCCTAATTCTGTAGCAGTTTTAAGTTTGAAATAACTTGGAAATGCTGCAAACATTAATAGACAAGAAATATATAACTAATCTATTTATCTATCTATTTTATTTTCTGTCTTACAGAAGAGGCGTCCGATAATGAACTCTGGGTTCGACATATTCCTATGGGCACCTCACATGTTGTAGAACAAAGCTTCTGATAGAGACGTCCGTACGTTCTGATCCAAAGATCTTCCTCTGTTATTCTCATCTTGTTTTCGAGAGTAAAAACAAAATGTGTGTTTTGATTCTTTTACTTACACATTCTATTATCAAAACACGTGATATTTTTTACTGCTATCTATTTAAAAACCTAAACAAAACATATATTTATGTGTGATGATCTATCTTTCCGACACTGTCCTCATCTTTCATTGCTTAAATATACGGATATCAACAAACTTTTTTTTTTACAAAACTTTATCATTATACGAATGCCGCTGGGCCGTTTAGTGTTATCCTCGGACACCAGAATCAATGCATGAAGTTATATTATATCACTACGGGCGGTGATACATCGAAATATAGATTAAGGGTACGTAGCTGCCAACATATTATATTATGGGTGTGATCTTGTTGAAGAGGTGTGACTTATCTTTCACTGAGTTATATCATTGAACGGGCCCGGCATGGCCAGGTGGTTAGGGCGCTCGACTCACAATCTGAGGGTCGCGGGTTCGAATCCCCGTCAAACCAAATATGCTCGCCCTTTCGGCTGTGGGGACGTTATAATGTGACGGTCAATCCCACTATTCGTTGGTCAAAGAGTAGCCCAAGAGTTGGTGGTGGGTGGTGATGACTAGCTGCCTTTCCTCTAGTCTTACACTGCTAAATTGGGGACGGCTAGCGCAGATAGCCGTCGTGTAGCTACGCGCGAAATTCAAAAACAAACAAACAATATCATTGAACGTTCAAGTTTCCAGACCCTTTCGCATAGTACATGGGTATTTTGTGATATAAAAAAATATCTCTTTACTTTGTGGAGCAGTTTTATAAGTTTACTATAACGTTGTTCGCATTATATAAGTAACCGAGACCACACTATTAATATAAATATGCCCGATGATGTTTTGCTTGATGAACAAATACTAATTACAAATGTATAAGTTTAACATGACAGCAAATGTACAACGTTTCGACAAGGTTTTGTCATCATCAGGCCGTCTCCAGCCATTATTAGTCTCAAAGTGTGTTCATCGAATTTTAATTACAAATGTATTCTGATATTGATACCTGTCATTGTAAAAGTTGTTTGTTTATTTACGGTAAAGCTCCTAAAACTATCAACCGCCTTAATTTTGAACTGCCGACCAGAAGGAAAACAACATCAACAACAAAAAAAAAACGGCCTGTAGCACCTACCGCCAACTTTTTGATTACTCTTTAACAACGAATAGTGGGACTGGTTATCATATAATAACGCCTCTATAGATGAAAGAGCAAGTAGTTCGGTGTAGAGTTTTGATGCCGCTGCCCGCAGATTGCAAGTCGAGCATCCTAACCGCCGGGACTTGCCAAGCCGTGTACAAATTGAAAATTTCTAATAACGAATCCTGCTACCTATCACGTTATAACAAGTGAAATTTTTTATTGAATAAATAGCAATATTATGAGTACTCACGTGACAAATTATTTCTCTCTCTCTCTCCAAATAACAACAATCACCATGTTCATTAACAGACATTTCTTATATTTACTCAAACTAATTTCTAAACTATAAGCCTGTTTAAAATTAACGTAATATAATAAGTCATAGGCTTCTCAAAAATTAATAATATCAATAATCGTTCTTAAGTCAATGTTTTTCGAAATGTGCAATATCGAATGATAGTTAATGCAAATAAAGTCTATTAAAGCTCTATTCTAGGAGAAAAGCTTGGTTTCTCTTACAATTTCACCTGGTGATCGTCAAGAGAAATTCATCAAAATATCGCTGGTGACTAAAGCTTAGGGCCTGCTATGGCCTGGTGGTTAGGGCGCTCGCCACACAATCTGCGGGTCGCGGATTCGAACTTCCATCACCGAACATTCTAGCCCTTTCAGCCATGGGTGAGGGGGTATAATTGGACAATCAATCCCACTATTCGTTGGTAAAAGTGTATCACAATAGTTGGAGGGGTGTGGTGCTGACTAGCTGTCGTTCCTCTAGTCTATCACTGCTAAATTAGGGACCGCTAGCGCAGGTAGCCCTCAAGTAGCCTTATGTGAAATTCAAAACATACCAAACCAAACGAAAGCCTACCTCTAGTGGCTCAGCAGTAAGTATGAAGTTATAACGCTAAAAACCGAGTATCGATGCCGGTGATGAGCAGAACAAAGAAAACTCTTTGTGCAGTTTTGCGCTTATCAACAACAAACAAGACAAAAACTTAACATATTACACTTTGTCAGTTTTATTTAATCTGAATCAGAATTATTATGTAAGATTTCTAAGATAATAAGCGATTAAGAAAGACTTACAGAAATATGTGTTAATGAACCATTAAAAAAAAAACATAATTAAAGCTGAAAACACACACACACACATATATATATATATATATCGATTAAAAAGTTTTCCTGCGAAAAATATAAGGTCGTGTAAAAAGAAAGGACGGTGTACCCCATCTTTTAATTCTCTATCTTGAATTCTTGTTAACCAATTATTATAACAAATATTAACACATTATGAATAAGGTAAACGGACGGGTCTATATAGAAAGATACCTACCGAAGAAAGGAAACCAGAACCTGGAGCTTGGTCGATTCCTAGGAGGAGTCTGATAAAGGTAATCATATAATCCTTTACGAAAGCCTAAAGTAGAAAGTAAAAATAATTACTTTAAATCTATTCGTGGTTACACAATATGTATAAATGAAAAGAGTTACGTTCTGAAGTTAAAAAATAATTAATAATTCTTAAAATAGAAGTTGATAGACTGTGTTACTTTGTCAACTTACTCTCGTTAGGTAATGTCAGTACTTGCATTAATATTGTTAAGCACATAAGATAGTCGTGGATGATATACCATTTGTGCTAATTACATCGAAAACTATAAAATATATTTTTATACTAAAGGTTAAACATTTTAACCGAATTTGGCAGACACTTTACTGCACTTTACCTACACGATAACATACTGTGTTTATTGAAAGTGTGGCAACATGCTATATTTTTAACTCAAATTACCGTCTCGTGTTTGTACTTTTCCCTACCGACGGGATTGACATATTGCATCCTATTCTGTTGTTTTGTCTGCTACAACAATGCAAAGAATTGATCAAAATAATTGAAAGAAAACACACATTTTCTATGTAAAACAAATAGGAAATCCCTGAAATAATTATTGGGACTAACTGCTATATTGACTGAATTCTTCAATTTAATTTCTGTTCGACTTATCTGTTATTAAGGGCCTTGTAACCAACAAAGTAACTCATTCACAATTAATTTGATTAATAAGTAGTTTATAAAATGTGTTTAAAAAGCCGATGGTCCTTATCCGTCATTTTCGATTTAGTTAATTATTCTAATAAGTTATAACCTCATACAGTTCGCTTGACTACAGATTCTGATAGCCTGAGCTCCCCAGTAGCACAGCAGTGTGTCTGCGGACTTACGACGCTAGAATCCGGGTTCCGATACCCGTGGTGGGCAGAGCACAGATAACCCATTGTGTAACTTTGTGCTTAATTACAAACAAACAAACAAACTGAGCTCCCCAGTAGCATAGCAGTATATTTGCGGACTTAAAACGCTAGAAACCGAGTTTCGATACCCGTGGTGGGCAGAGTACAGATAGTCCATAGTGTAGCTTTAACTTCAAACAAACAAACAAACCGATGGCCTGATAGGTATTCTTACCTTATTTATCAATTGTATTTAACCAAGTCCATTAAATGTGTTACGGAAATGGACGTTGTTCTAAATAATCAAAGTTAATGAAGTGTAATTAGTAGTCCTAAATTCGTTCAATAACTCTAGTACTAATGTCTGTGATCTTGCAATAGATAGTCCATATAAATCACAATAACACTGTTTCTATGTTTGGTAATATAGTCATCTTGCAACTAAAATGAGCATGTTTATGTACTAATAACATAGTAATTGTTTACAGTTATTGCTACTAAACACAGTAACTGTGTAATCAAACTATGCAATCTAGACTTTTAAAACTAGCTTGTTTTTAACCTCATGCAAAAACTATTTTACGAAATTCGATGTTTTATGGGTGCCTTTTGTTAGCAAATGAAAATCTACACTGTTGTAGTCTACTACATTCAACTGTACTGACGCTCAGTCTTACCTGATAGAGTAACGTATCCAGCATGCTAGCGCTGAACACTGTTCCAGCTGCAAACGGCAATCGGAACATGTAAGAAATATGTGTACCCCGTTCTTTTTCTCGCTAGAAAAATAGTTAAAATGGAGTTACACTCGACTAAGTATCTTTATGATATATAAAAGGCTCTAAACAATAAGGTTAGTAGTTTCTAGAACTTTTGTAAGATCTAAAAAAAAAAAGCAAAGTATCATTAATAAAATTAATTAATGTTGTTTGGTATTATTCTATAATTGACAAGTTAAACATACTATAGTTTTGTAGTTTCTGGCACTGTTATGAAATCTAGTAAAGCGAAATATCAGCAATACAATTAATTAACTTTGTTTGGTATTGTCCTATCATTGACAAGTTAAACATACTATAGCTATATGATTATCATTAACTTATAAGTTTCGATTTTAGTTCTAATCTATTTAATCAGAAGTCATTACTCAGTGACTGGAAGACCTTTTGTATTTCTTATGAATTTTGTCACGTTCATCTAAATTCTTGACAATTTTAGGTATTCAATCCCCTTTCCAGCATTTTGTAAATACCAAAATCCTGAAATCTCAAAACACTCGTCAAAGTTTATGAACTTTTTTTTAACGCTACTCTGACAATGGGTACACGACATGATAAAATTGGTTGAAGTATTTTTTTATTTGGCAATGGTGAAATCACCATATAATTACTTTTAAGATGTAGAATTATTGTGTATCATATAATAATCCTTTTAATTTTATAATCCACGGGAACCTTCCTAGTTTGAAAAAAAAATGAGACTGGATTTCGATGTTGCATCAACTTTCCAGCAAAGACGTAAGCAATCACTTGTTTTGATGTTATAGCATACGTTTTTTAGACCACTCGAAAACGAAAGTAAAACGGTACCTGAAGTAGGAAAACAAAACAAGCAGAGTAGTAGCATATAAATAACGCTAGAAATTTTCTTATAATTTTAAATTTTACATTTGAATTTAATCTTTTTACAAAACATATTTTAACTATTTTAAAATATTGTTCCCTTTCGCTGGCTATAAAAATTGTGAAGGACAACACAAATTTATAACTCCTGTAAAAAAAAAAAATTAAATCTTGTAAAAAACAAACAGTGACAAATTTAGTTTGAATATATAGCACATATTAATCATACAAATGATAAACTTGATTTTTAAATGTTATTAGTTTAATAATATTCTTTTATCCAGTACTATATAAAGTTGTTTATTTGCAACATCTTTAATTAATAAGCAGTATGACTGACTCCTCAATCTGTTTTATCGTACAGAAATGTGTTCTCGTGAATTATTACACATGTATATCGCATTTGATAAAAACAATGTTCCATGTTCTATGTCGTATTTGGTACTTTTTCTTCCATCGTCAACTGTGCTCAGTCTGATGTCCATGGTTACTTAATGTAGCCCGACATCACAATATTCATTGTACATGGATGTTGGCTTCTAAGACATCTCTTAATCATTAACGTAGCAGTGAGGGATTTGATAGGTACTTCGTCGAATGAGATTGCTGTATCATAATTTCTTCTTTCATCTTCCACATAAAATAACAGTTGCTTTCGAGATGTGGCTGGAAACTTGTAATCTCCAAACTAGTGAGTCTTCGTCAACTTCCCATTTTTGTTTATCTTCTTAGCCTTCACTTTGTGGCTAAGGGCGTTACTTTAAATTGGGTTCGTCTATAATTTCGGACTCGTTATTATTTAAATCGTCCAGCTGTGTGCGTTTTTCTGCTTCTATGGAGAACACTGAAGTCCCTTATTTGAATTGTTGCTTCGTTTGTCTGTCAGTGGTTCACAAATTTCGCTATACGAATAACCTCCTTGTAAAAGAATGTAACACGTCTCTTCAACAATAACAATCAAGTATATAGGCACTAAATATGTTTTCCGTGTGGCCACATCTCCATCTCTGACGATTTGTCTCTTTGTTAGCACATGCATAGTTTGTTTAACCCTCAGTAAAAGGAGACCAGAAATAAAGCAAATGAAGGAGATAATACAAAAATGTTTTATATATAACTCTCTTATTTGTGTGTTCTCCAGTGGCTAGAAACCGTGTTTTGATACCCCTGGCGGGCAGAGTACAGATAGCCCACTGTGAAGCTTTGTGTTTAATTACAAACAAACAAACAAACCTTATTTGTGTTTCTGTAAGACAAATAAACATTGCCCCACTTACAGTTCAATGTATTATAGTTATTATAATTTTCGGTTTTTTGGCTTATCAATTTATGACATTAAGAACTTATCATCAGTTTCTTAAAATGATGTCTTCACTAATACATAAATTAGTTCTTAAATATACATATACATATACGTTAAAGATTTCTTTTCTGTTTCATAAGTTAATAATTAATTCGACGAAATTCTTATTTGTAGTTATGCACAAAGTTACACAATGGGCTATCTGGTCTCTGCCCATCACAGGTATCGAAACCCGATTTCTAGCGTTGTAAGTCCGCAGAAATATCGCTGTGCCACTGGGGGGGGGCGACGTAATGACATAGCATTATTCACACACCTAAATTAATTTGAGTTACTGTATGATGAAGTAAAAGGAACTCAAAATCCAATAAATCTTAAATTATTTTACTTTTTGTCTATCGAGCTAGCTTACTTTTGATCAGGAAATTTTAATAATAACTAGATTCTTGATTCTAGCATGTTTTTATTCACTTCTTACCTTTTCCATTTTCGATAAGTGCAGAGCATATGTATCATGAGCTCGAAACTGCATAAATCTCATATTGCTGGACTGACTGAGCTCTGTGATTATGCGAACACTGGGAAAAAGTCTGCAAAAGTAATATGCAACCAAATTGTATCATAATCATTTGTTATAACACGACATAATATTAATGACATCCGAGGTCTGTGCAGCGAACAAGAACAAACAGGGTACTTATAAAAAGCTAATGTAACATAACGACTGAATATCTAATATTACAGGAATACCCCATTATATTACTTTAAAAATAGTGCCATACTAATTAGAGAACGGCTTTGGGTTTTCACTTTAATTCTAAAATACTAGCTAACAGCTAGTAAGTTCTAGTTAGTAGTCCGATATTTCATTATCTGCGAATGATGGTTATATCACGGATTCATTAAACGAAATAACTTATGTAATTACGATTCCAATAGCCTTTTAAATAGTCGTCCAGTTTTATAACTTACATTTCCGAAGGGAATAACTTACGTGATATAGTGTGTTGGAAAGAAATACGCATGCACTCCAGATAAATACAATATTCAAACTTTTATTTCTGAGTATCCAAACAGATCAGCATGAATAAAATTTTGAAACTTCAAACAGTTGTATAAAAATAATAACACAAGAAACAAAAAAATACAATATAATAATGAACATATTACTATATCTGCTTAAGATTTCTGTTTAATTGATAAGACATTGATTTCAATACATCTAAAAATGTTTTACCTGGTTCTTTTAATCAAATCACTCTGACAGATAGGTGTCAAAAAATCCCAAAATGTTCAGTCTGGGACTTTTAACCATACCATTTGACAGATAGGTGTCAATAAATCTCAAAATGTTCGGTCTGTGACTTTTAACCATACCATTTGACAGACAGGTGTCAATAAATCTTAACATGTTCGGTTTGTGACTTTTAACCAAGCCATTTTACAGATAGTTTTCAATAAGTATTATAAAAGATAAAACTGCGACAAGTGTAAAGTATTTATTTTTCTGGAAAAAAAAAAACTTAATAAATTGAGAACTAACTTGAACATAGTCTGAACTGCAACTATTGTGTTACAGTCTGCCAAGTGGTCTTCTTCCGCAGAGTTACTGCTCTCCTTGTTCACCACCACCACACTGTCCGCCAAGTTTATCCCTGCCCTCAGTAAATCGTCCAAGCTATAAGAAATACGTCAGACAGAATACTCTTTTATCAACTGTAGTTTATCTCTAAAAAATCACTCGACAACGATATCTATTTATAAATTTAATGTTCCTCTTCACAGTTATAGTTAGAAAGCAAGATTTCAAATATGTTGAAATTATTGAAAACAAATTTAAAATTATTAATTTTTGTTGTGAGTAGGTTTTAGTTCTTGTCAAGTTAAGCAGCTAAACTAAAAAAACTGACATGTTGTGGTGGTTTATTCCCAAATAAAACTGACATGTTGTAGTGGTTTATTCCCAATTAAAACTGACATGTTGTGGTGGTTTATTCCCAATTGCAACACTAGAGAAAGTTTATATTAAGTTATATTACAAATTTAAGCTTGATTATTTTTATAATTTTATATTTCTATGATATTCATAATATTAAACAAATTACTTGGCTTTTAGATCAGGTTAGTATTTATAACCTAGCTGTAGTAGGTGACACGGGTGTTTGTCTGGTATTTGTTTTTCTTAGTTCCTTAAAACAACTGATACTTATTTTCCAAAACTTTGAAACTGAATATCAAATCTTCCAAGAGACAAGGGATCTTCCACACAACCGACATTTGGGAATAAACCACTACAACATGTCAGTTGTATTTTTTAGCTTTAGTTATAAGCGCAAAGTTAGCCATTCCTAATTTTAAACTGATAGCCTAGAGAGAAAGCAGCTTGTCGTCATCACCCATCATCAATTCATGGGCTACGTAATCAGTTAATAAATTCGATCTTTTTATAACAAACCCACGACCCCAAAGCGCCATGTTGCAGAAAATGGATGCGAACCGTGGACCCTCTGGTTCACAGGCCCGCATGCTAACTAGTATGCCCATCCTAACTAATTAGGTAACACTTGCTACCATAAAGATATCATTATTTCCAGCTTCGGGATTAAAGACTGTAAATCATGGCGTTTTGCTACCGTTATAAGTCAGGTAGTCTCATGCTGATTTGCTGAAACCTATACAACATTACTGGGACAGCCAGAACAACAGTTTTGTAGCATAGTAAGAGTGATTTATTTCAGTCTACTGTCTACAAATAATAGATGTATCTATGCATCTTTGTATCTACTACTGAAACAAAACAAATTAATGTCTTCAAACTGTATATCCTAAGAATGATCTTAAAATACTTGGTAAATATGATGAATTTGGCTAAATAATTCAGAATTATGAATTAATAGCCGGCATAATTATACTAAAAGGTTGGTTACTTATATCAATGTTATGTTTAATATCATTTCTAGATTCAAAATGAAATATGTGCGAGAATTATGACATCTAGTATGTCAAGGGAAGCAAAAGAATCGAACATTAGTGCTTATAAAAAAAAGGGAGAAATTCAATTGGTTCACCAGGGGAGACAGTTTGTTTGTTTGTAATTAAGCACAAAGGTACACAATGGGCTATATGTGCTCTGCCCACCACGGGTATCGAAACCCGGATTCTAACGTTGTAAGTCCGCAGACAGACCGCTGTGCTACTGAGGGGGGGGGGGGGTCCAGGGGAGACAAAGCGTAGTAATTACTAACCGATACAATACTGCATCCAGTAAACTGATCAAAAATGTAATAACGTTATCACAAAAGTTAGAGGGATGCAAGTGGCAAATGCTAGTATTTAACAATCAGAAGCATCCACAAGAGAGAGAGGTATCAATATTTACGAATCCATGGAGCTTTTCATTCAGTAAGGAAAGAGGAACAAGAAAATATCTGTAGCTTGAATTGATTAAATATTCCATACAGTAGACCAATAAAAACAATAATTAATATTGTCACTACTTACTAATCTATAGAACCTTGCATCCAATAGATCAAGGGGAACAGCGAAATAGCATCCAGAAAAGCTTGGTGTGGTCTGAAAGAAGGATTATAACAGTGAAAACTATAATAGCATACTACATTTCCACTTTCTATCAAAATAGATGCTAAAGATTAGAAAAAGACATAGAGTATATATCTAATAATGCAAAGCCATATTCGACAATATCATTAAATATACAACGTGCAAGGAAGAACTAGGCTGCTGTTAATTATGGATGAAATATCATATAAAATATACGTAGATAAAGAAACTGATAGGTAGTCGCACGGACTGATAAATAGATAAAGGTCATGTCTGTTTACAATATCGCTTAAGATCATAAAAAGTCATCTCGCCGGAGATATAGATCCAACGTGTCCTAGATCACTTTTCCAAGTCTAGAATGCTGATTACCTTCTCTCAAGCAAGAGGATGATGGGACGCAGTGTCTGAGGGCTGTGGAAATGTGCTCTCAAGGGAACGATAAAGTTATAAATGCCATTGCTAGCGTAATCAGCGGCGATGATGATGCATCGGTTGAGCCAGTTGTAGTCCTTGGCATTTCGGAAAGAACAGTGTTCACAGATCTGATAGAAAACATCAAGAAACAAATGGAGAAAATAATTGTAAAAACTCTTCATTTACATCTTTAGTTTAGATATTTTACAGTGACGTTTATAATTTTATCACTTCGATGCGGGTAATTAAACGAAAATTAGTTTGCGTTAGTTACTAAACTTAAAATATTCCGTATAGATTTTAACATGCTTGCACGTAGTATCTAATTGTAAGATTACAGATTTAGGTGTTAAGAAAAGTTTTGGACTATATATATTTACATAGAAAAAAACAACAACATATTTATAAAAGTTGTTGTTGTTTGTTATAAAGTAGAAAGCTACACAAAGGGCTATCTGTGCTCTGCCCACTGGCGGTGTCGAAACCCGGTTTCTAGCAGCATAAGTCCGCTGACATAGCCCTGTTCCACTGAGGTGCATTTATAAAAGTAATCAGTTTTAAAGTTACGGTTTAAACACCCATAAGTTGGCGAAACATTTGAAACCGATAGGCCTAAGATCTGTAATAAAATCACGTTAAATGGAGTATTTTTTTAAATGATACAAACTAACAGACCATCCGAAGCTGGCAGCAAAATGCTGTCAAGAAAGGATCTTCCAATGTTAATTAATATAAATGACGTCAACCAACTTTAAATACTAAAAGGCTGAATATTTAAAAAAATCATTTCATCTGTTAAAATGTGCATCTACATGTATATTAACTTTTATATTTATTTTTTAAATGTTTTAACCACTACCTCGTACTTGAATAAGAAGCCTTATTTTAAGTTAAACATTACAGGTCTTAGTATATTGATTTATATGATTTTTTAACACACATTTCTTCATCGTTACTTTACATTATTGATATATGGCATACAAAAGTAGTGGTTCGAATTCATAGTCATAATGTTTATCATAGAATATATTTTTTCCTTAACTGATAATCATACACGAAAAGTGCTACTGCCAATACATTATATATTTATTAAATATTACAATATATTACATATTTATAAGTCTTAATAAAACAGCTTTATGTACTGCACATCAGTATACAAACGAAACAACAATAGTTTGGTAATAAAATATACAAATATATCAGGAATTAGATAATTTAGATACCTAAACATCGAACAACTGACAGCTACTGCCAATTTTGAGAGAACAGCAAAAAATTGCAATATAAATTCATTAAAATCCGTAATAAATAATCTACAAAATGTACTGGAGGGCATAAAATTTATCAAATCACACATAATGCTCTGAAAGTGATAAGATAATATTCTAAAATTGTGTTAAGGAATACTATATGTACTCTTAACGTTTATTTTTTGTACATTTCGATAAAAAAATAAAAATAACAATTGAAATATATTATACACATTATTTCAATAACATTCATATTCTATAAAAAAAAAGTACTTCTAACTGAGAATTAAGGTGTTTGCCACAATGCTAAGTACAGCGGGCTGAGTACGTTATGTTAAAAACGTTTTTGGAGCTCCACCATATCGTTACCGTTCCTATCGTTTCCTGTCACACTATCTGACGACCGTGAAGGTAGACAATAGTCCTGCAGCGTGATTTCCAAAGCAAAAGGCTCCAACGTCATAATATCTAATCCACATTACTCCTTCCTGCAAGTTTTCTGTAATCCATCTAATGTACAAGGATGTTGATTTACGATGTCCGATTCAACAGTCCAAGCGTAAGATTTTCATATTTTGGAATTTATAAGGGTTAAGAGAAGTTAGTCGAAAAAAAGTTCAATAAGATTAGATTGTTTTTTTTTTCACACCATACCTGGGCCAGTTGGAGGCAGCAGGCCGGTTTTTTCTCCTTCAGAAGGTAACATAAAGTTGGACTTACTCCGATGTAAGGAGAGATAGGAGGAAATCCCTTGATAATTCTGCAATCAAATACGTTAAGGATGTGTAATACAAAATTAAATATCTGTATGTAGCTAATAAAATTAGTTTTATTAAAATTTTATTTTCCGTTTCCAGTTCTACAGATTTAGTTAGTTTTAAGTCCATGTACTAAATTAGCAATGCAGAATAACCATTATAATTAAATAATAAACATAAAAATAAAATTGAAAATAATAAAAAACAGAAATAAAAGTAGATATATTAAGTGTTATAATCAGCACTGTAACTATAACAAAATACATAAATAACGTTATTACATTATTTTTAAGCCTTTTCTTTCCTGAAATTATCCACCTCGCCGTATTTGTTTAACGGAAGTAAGCTTAAAACTTGGATTTTATCGTGCATAAATATAAGAGATAGGGTCACAGTACCGATTTGATCTACAGAAAGTTAATTGATTATCTTGTAATGTATATATATATATATATATACTAAATTGGCAAGAAATTAAGGCCTTGATTGATTTGTCTCCTTAGCTAACTCATCAAATGCCTCTTTCAAAACTATTTTATTGAACTTTTTTATATCTTTGTAGTCGCTACTGCTCCTCATTTTTGGGCAAACAAGGATGGGTATATTCCATCAAGTTTAGAATAAACTGCAGCAACTTGCGTCACTGGCGTTAACCTTGGCAGTGTAGCGTCATTGTGCTGGCTGTAAAAACTAAAATAAATGGGCAAAACTATAAGCAATACTTGTACAGTGCATTCTACTAAGTAAGTATAAAAAAATAATGACAAAGAAATATGATAATGTGTATGTGAAATGAGCAAGTCCTTGAAGATGGCATTGCAATAGGAGTATGATTACAGGTAACTATGAAAGAGAAAGGATTGAGGAGGTGCCGGGTGAACCATAATGAGGTAATTTAGTTTTGCCAGTTAATTTACTGAGTGTTTTTATTCGTGTTATTATGAATAAGTCCCAGCTCGCATATAGTAATCGGTTTTGATAAAAATAAAATGTCACTCTTACACTGTCAACGTGATATCCTTTCTTATGCTTGTGTACAATATAAACAACAAATTAACTCTAGCTAATGATGACGTCAACAGTTGCTTAGTGATCAGCACATGATTATTATATCAGCAAAACTAAAGACGTGTATGAGTATAAGGCTTGGCATTACCTTGCTCTCTCTTACAACTGAAGTGGATTAAAAGACTTGACAACCACACAAATGATCACTTTTATTAGTATATAACAGTATTTATCTACAGTGCCAAGTCATAATACATCCACTGGCTCCAATAGGCTTTTTTTCACAACTATATTACCTATAGTCTGATACATTTGTTCGATTGTAGAATTTGTGAAGAGCATGGTTGTCAAAGGAGACAATATAAAACTGGTGTTTGACTTAATCAAACAAAAGTTTGTGATCCAGCAGGTAATAATAAGTTATTTCAGGCATCTGCAGTTTCTCGTTCAATTGGTTTTTATGTTAGTAGCTATTTGCATCACGTCTAGATATGAGTGCATATTTTGCCGAATACGTGCCTTACGAGGTTTTAAGAATGTTTAGTTAAATACCATTTTGAGTTTTGCCATAGCTGTGTGCTTTTAATATATATATTTTTTATTCTATGCTATGCTACGAGAATGAAAAAACAATTACGTTACATTTGGAATCTCGTCTAGTAATAATTAACTTTATGATTAGTGTTTTGTTTGATGAAATATATTGATTGTTTGAAGTTAAACACAAAGCTACACATTGGCCTATCTGTGCTCTGCCCACCACAGTTATCAAAACCCGGTTTCTAGTGTCCGCAGACATACCGCTGTGCCACTGGAGGGCTGATGAAATATAACTCTAGATCACAGTGTTATATAAATACTTTATATAACGTTTAAAAGTGAAACACTATTGTAACATACAGATGACAAGTTCTAGTCACCTTTAACAGCTCACAAGAATTATTTATTTTCAAGATGAAAACAGTATTAAAATCTAGATATAGTCTTAAGTGAAAATTTTTTATCAAAGTATTGTAAATATTAATAGTCAACAATAATTATTTCACTTGTTCAATACTAAATAATGAAAACATTTATAGGACAGGTAACTGATTTAGTAAGGTGTTTTAATATTAAGATCATAAATATTGTAATTTTACATGGAGATATGTGTTCTGAGGTGATCACTAAAGACTTGTTCATGAACACACTCACACACACACATACATATACATATATATCCCTATTAGTAAAGAATTGGTTTCCTAATTTCCAAATAAAACGCTTTCTTCGCAACTTCAATTTCTACCTCTTACTTTTCTGTTTCGTCTATTATTTTGCTGCTGTGTGAAATGGTTTATTTTGTTTGTGGTCGAGCTTTGAAGTTGAATCTTTAACAGGAAAGGTTGTAATGGATTACAGTTTGCATGCAAATCAATCTGAAGTTCTATATTTGTCATGTTGCACACGTTATAATACTAGGTAATGCTGCATTTACGCTTACCACATATATACTAATCAAATTCAATTTTTTTTACCATTTTTTTGCTTTAGGTCAACTGACTTGGACCACTAAGGATAGTTTACATCTTCATTATACTCTAAAGTTCACATACAAACACTTAGTATATATCTATATGTAGTTTTAACACAGGAAATTGATCAAGGAAATGGCTAAGCTTCTTTCGCCCAAGATATCTATTGATCTGAGTCATTCTCCCTAGATAATGTGTGCTCGTTTTCGTAAAAAATATTTCTGTAAGATAGAACATATTATGTGAAAGAATACAGCGACCTTTTGACTGGCGAGTCAGGTACTACTGTGAGGATATCCTCATTTTTCGAAGGAATGTACCAACACTCACGTGAGTAGTTCTCGTGCTCTGAGAGAGAATAGCATTATTGTCTCGTATATATAATTATCTGCTTTCTGAGTCTGTGACAGTTATTCACAGAGAAGTTTACTTCTTCACTAAAAGCTCTCAAACCTCCAGTATAGATGCTATAAATATACTCATATTTGGTTCTTGATTGTATGTGGTGCTTACGAAATAACTTTGTTGTATATCCAGTCTTTTTCTTTGCTAAAGTTAAAAGGCAAAGAATTCAGGTTGATCTCACATATGATTTTCTGTCGAATCTTCATCTATTCAATGGATTCTAGTCGATAACTCAAATGAAAATCAGTGCATCTAAAAACAACACATTAAATCAACGAATATTAAGCAATTAGAACTACTGTCTACAAATGTCACAGAAGCAAAATGTTTAAGGAATGACCTTTAGAAAATTAAATAGTAAAGCCATAAATGTCGAAGTAATTTATCATTTCTAGAAAATACCCACTTTAACAGCTCCAAAAGGTATATTAAACAAAAATTAAATCTTAAGTATTAAAAATATAATCTACTAGCTGACTCGTGGACATTAAGAAAAGGTTTGTTGTGGAAACGTTTCTATATGAAAATCCCGCTATATTAGGACCGTTTGTTAAAAGAACAAGTAAAGAAAGAGAGAGAAAATACTGGTTAGTTGAGAAGGTCTGCAATTAATACACGATAATTAATGTTTGAGGTTTATTTCTTACAACTCGAAACGCTTCTCAAAGTAATTGTTCTCATTTAATATTTAACCAGAAAAGGACGAGGTTAAGTTTGTGTTGATGTAGAAATAAAACGTAAACCATAAAGCTGTGTATATGTTGAAACCAACAGTGCGTAACGCAGGAATTTACCTAAAGTATAAGAGGCTGTCTAGATAGATCAATTGTCTATAATATACGGATGCACCTAACGCACTAAATAATTATGTTTAATTAAACCAGTTGTGTCTGATATAAGAATATGTCGAAGCCATAAGACAGAATGGCTCAATAGAATAACTATGTCTAATCTAGAAATGCAATTAAAGCAGTAACGAAAGTCTGTGATGAGAGAATATACAAATCCCTATATAACAGCATGATGAATCAGGCTAACTGAGCACAATACAGGAAAGTATATCATAAAGACAAGTAACTATAGCTACAAAACACACTGTCTGGTTAGTCCTGCTCTTTCATAAATGAAGTATACCTTGCTTAAAGTTATAAAACAGGAGAGTTTTGTTAATCTAACTGTGGCTAATATGGTATCACACATTCCTTACAGCTTTTGCAGTGATATTTATTATCAAAGATTATATTCATTAAAAATATTTAAAAGTTAATTTTAAAACCTTTTTCAATTGTTACAAACTGATTTGAATTATTCAATAATTATAGCCATAAACAGTTGTTTTTAATGAAATTCCAAATTGTCTTTTGGAACCCAAAGAAAATATAGTTCAAAATATTGATTAGTGAGTTTTCTCAGATTGTCGTCATATTTCATGAAAGAATTGTCATTTTAATTTCAACTAAAGATTTATGATCTACGCAGAATTATCATATTTCTGGTAAAATTCCAACGATACAAAAGCTATTCATTCTAATATTCTAACTTTCCTAATGAAACATAAAGATTGTTCAAAACGACTTAAAGCAAGTAATTAATAGATTTTATATTTTTCAACTCGATTTTGTTTTGTCTTAAATATTTCAGAAATTAAAAATCAACACATATTCCCTTTTTATTAATATCATTGATCTACCTGTATAAACGGTTACTTAGGACTAGAAATAAATATAAAAGAAAAACTCAAACCGGCATACAAGTAATTGCTTAGGGCCTTCTAATAGATAGTTTCCAATAAAAGAGAGTTTTGAAACGTATAGATTCAAACACCAAGTTAATGTTGAAACCTTAAATACTATCTTATATTCACTGTACACTACTAAACAGACCATCTATCTAGAAAAGGCCAAATCAGGATTACGTTTGGGACTGGTTGTCTAATGATAGAAACCGCAATAATGCTGATATGTCGCCGAGATTTAGTACTTTCCAGGAAGATTATCTGTTCAGAACTTCCTACCATATACCAGCTTATGCCTACCAAACCTATCAAATAATAACTTCAACGTTTATTTAACCCAGTTTAATATTTTCTCACTATTTGTTTAAGTAGTTCAGCAAATGAATCCCGCAATACATACATACTATATATATATATATATATATTTTTTTTTTAAGGAGCTAGGCCTGCTTTTCTAACAACTGATGTATGGTGCTTCACCAGCGATGGTTGGACCTAGTAGCAAATAAAATAAAACGATTGAAATTTTATCTAAACTTTTCATATTCACAGACTTATATTGTCAGGTTGTAAGTCTGAAATTGGTAAAAAACTCAGGGACTTTTTGCTTGAAGGTAGATTCGTCGTTTTATAAATTCATGGAACGAGAATGTTCTCCTGAGGGACAATATTTCATTTGTTACTTCCTCACTTTCTTGTATAAGGAAACAACCTTCAGAAAAAAACATGTTATTATACTTTATGTGTATGTCAGCAAAACGTCGAAATGTCTTCGTTTTGACATATCAAGTCTATAAAGATATTAGAATTTGAAATTATTGTATTTCCAGTAAGGTGGTAATAAGCATAAGTTTCGTGGCCTACAAGCTAAGCATATAAGTAGAGCAACTTGAAATTATGTTAACACAGAATGTGTATTTATGTAAGAAAATTATCATAATTTTGGATACCTTGTACATAAGACATTGCCTTATATTCAATAGCTGTGTAAACTGTGTATAATTGATAAGCACCCCAAAATTTACCGTCATAAATATAGTGATTATGAAATGTTAATTCATTAAAGCCGGGAGATAATTAACAATAGACTTAAGAAATATATGTAACATTTGCATTCCAAATGTACAATATTTTCATAATTCGTGTAATGGACGTTAGTAATTTAAAAGTGTTCTTTTAAGAAATTAAGATAACAGGTTTTGCAGGCTATATTGCTTTTAGAATATAAAAGTTATGATTGTGTTACCAGTTATGTTATAAATTAATCTCATATTTTTTCGTTCAGTATTCAACTATGAAAGATTAGCTTAAGATTTTATGCATCTGAACACAGGAATATATATATATATATACTTTCAAACATGGAATTGAACAAAAGCATAATAAAATTCACTTTATATGTATTGATTTATAATATCAGAAATTGCTATGTATATATTTTTCTCATGTAATAAGATTACTATGTACCTACTGAAGCAGCGTCATTTATTGATTTGATATATTATAATTAACAAGATCCCCCCCCAAAAAAAGAATTTACGGTATAATAAGGATATTAGTTTACCATAGATTAAAGCAAGATAAAACGATTTCTGCTTGCTTGTGTAAAACTCATCGGATAAATTAATTAATTAAGGATAAAAATATATTAAACCCAAAAGGTTTTACAAAACTAATACACTAACGTACCCAAAACTTTCAGTAGGAGTAGTCCATGGAATTTCTAGATATTTTTCTCCTTCTTCGTTTAGTGTTTCAACATGAGCGTCACTATCGGGTGAAAAATCGCCATTTCCAAACATGGCGGGCACTGGAGCGATACTTGGACGTCTTCCTCGAGGGGGATAATAACCATCTGAGCCTGGTACACCATCCATCTTGGGAACCTCTAGGTGGCGCTTTTTACTTAAGCCAAATGTAATTTTTGACTTGAGCGGTGAAAGCCCAAAGTAGAAATTTTCTAGGAAAGTTAAAATCGTATAAACATTAAGATCCAAAGCAAACAAGAAAGGCATTAAAAACATAACATAACATTAATAACTCCCACTTTCAACTTGAAAAAACAAACGAATTCATAATCTACCTAGCAAGGTCAATTTTACCGATTACGTTACTCAACAAAATACCCTTTAATTCAAAAGAAAAACCACACAACGTATTTAAACAAACCCTCAAGTATTACGAAAACAAAAGTATTCGTTGCAATTATGGAAAATGATTCATTTATATCTGGTGATAAAACCGCTTCAGTCAGTTAAGTCTCATACACACAAGTTAAATATCAGCATGTAATTAAATGAACAGCAATGTGTATCAGAAGCGAAGAGTCTCTTTCATTTTGGTATCTGCACTGAACCACGATGAACGTAATGCATAATTAGGTCTGTTATCCGAATTTTCAAAACGTTTCTATTGTAATTGGAAATTATAAACGGCATATTTTTCTTATGTTTCTCACTAACCTTTAAATGTACATATTTATATCGAAATTTTCCTGTTAAGTTTCCATTTTATTCTTACTTTCAAAACTTCTTGTATGATGTCTGGACTACAAATTATGAAATTACTAACAATAATCCCCCATGTCTGGCGCGTGCGTCTAAACAGATACAAAAACAAACTTTATATACTTCCCCATAGAACATAAGTGTGTGAAAAAAGAATAATAATACATACTTTACTAGCGTTTCAAGTTAAAAGAAAATTGTTTGTTTTGTTTTTTAATTTCGCGCAAAGCTACACGAGGGATATCTGCGCTAGCCGTCCCTAATTTAGCAGT